CGATTTTTTCGCGATAAAAATCGTAAAATCACGTGCGATTTTTGGGCTGTCACGCCAACCTATCCTGGACACCCTAACCCTCATGAAATAAATAATACTTAATTATAATTTTATGAATTTGATTTTAATCTATAAATTTAAAAACATCTGTGATAAAATTTCCAAAGAAAAGTTTAATAAATTAATTAAGCCTACCATCAATTAAGAATATATAATCTTAATGAATAGTTTGAAATTTTATTTTAAAAAAAATCGATGCTTTCATTGAAACGGTATTTTTTTTTTTTTTTTTTAAAAAAAAAAGCAGGCCAAATGAATGTAATGTTAAAATGAAATACATCATTAAAAAGGATTACAAAGGCAAACTATTTTTCTTGCAATAATCAATAGCTTGTTTATGTTGTTTATAAGCGGCTAATCTCATATATTTTGCACCTAATTCTGGATCCTTTTTACCAGCAACACCAGAGAAATATAAAGTAGCGGCATTAAACATACCAACTACTTGTCCATTTTCAGCGGCTTTGGTAAAATATAAAGTAGCTTCTTTTAAATCCTTTAGAACTCCTATACCTTAAATAAACAACCACCATAACGTAATTGGGCTTCAGGAAATTCATCTCCTTCATCCGCTGCTTCTTTATATAATTTAGCTACTATTTTATCTTTTTCTGATTGGTCTAAATCAAGACTAACTAATTTTTGTTGAATATAGTATGCTTTATAATATTTTGCTTTCACATCACCTAATTTTGCATATGCTTCAAAACATTTATATGCTGATTCGCGATTTCCATCAGGAAGTAAATGTTGTTTCGCTGCTTCATCTACTGTCAGGTAATCAAAATCTTCGAAATTTGGTATAATCATAAATTCAGTTGCTTCTGAAGTATCTGTAGGGTCTGGCACAAGAGGCAGACGAGGTGATGGTGTCGGTCTACAATCTTTCTTATAAAGCTCTTGTAGTCTGGTAAAAATCCTTGAAACTTGAGGTCGAAAATTATGATCGTGATGAACAGCTAGGGATAGTTAATAATAGTAAATTATGAGTTGAGTTTGGTATTCAATATAAAGAGCAAATAGGTTTTTTAAAAAATACAAATACCATTCATCGCAAGTACTATATATTCTTTTGGTAAAGGAGAACCTAAAGAAAACTTTTCACGATATTTTTTGTTGCAAACAAGATCGATAATTTCAATGATATCATTACCAAATTTCTCATAAGGAATTTTCTCTTCGGCAATTTCCCAAAGCAGTATACCAAAACTATAAACTTCAGACTTGGTATCATATTTATATTTTCCACATAACTTTTCTGGAGCGCAATATCGTATAGCTTCTAGAGTTGCTTTTTGATTTCTAGTACTATCAGATATTGCTCGACTTGATTTAAAATTTGCAATTTTGGCAGTTTCATGATCGGTAATTAAAATATTCTCGGCTCTTATATCACGATGAACGATCTATCGAAACAGGTTTATCCCCAAAATAAAAAAAAAGTTACTTTTTAGAAATTAAAGATTTACCTTATGTGATGGAAGAATTAAAAAAATATAGATATACCGAAACGGAGGTCAAGAAATTCAAGCCAATAGCAATGTCAAGAGCAAATCTTAATTTCAGCTTAACATCAAGTGGACCATAGGTTTTATAATATTCACGTAAATTGCCATATTCTGCCCATTCCGTCACCAAATAAAATTTATCTTCATATGAAGTTAAACCATGTAATTGAATAATAAATTGACATTCTTTCAATTTATTTAAGATCGTGACTTGATTTCTAATATTATTTTTATCGTCTTCACTGCTTTCCTGATCAATCACCAATTTTAATGCGACATAACCATGTTTTCTTATCTTAAACTTTCTTACATTTTGATTTTCTATGGGTTCACCTTCTTCTTCAAAATCATTAAATTCAAGTAATACACTTTTGAATATACCTGACATATCTGTTGAATAATTCCGTGCCATTTGAGCATTAAGCGCATTAATTTGCACGACTATGTCTGAGACATTTTGATTCGTGTCAGTTATACCATTGCCAATTTCATCAAGGTACTATATAAAGAGGTAAGAGATCTATAAAATAAATTTACATGTACTCATGAAAATCAAATTATATCATACGTTACCTGATTTAAATCTTCAATATCAGACTTAATATCTTTGTTATCTTTGTCAGCACGTATGCTAAAGTCAACCATCAAAGAAAATTTCATAAGGTGTATAGTAGTATCAAATTCATTAATTAATTCTTTAACACTTATTTCAATATTTTTGGCCAGAATATATTTGTTTAACCCTTTTAACTGAGTTATTTCTTCAACAAATTTACGAATTTTACAAATGACATGAACTAACTTCTGTAAATTATAACAATTTCTTTCTGAAAAGAAATATTCATTTTTATCTCTACGGTTTTTTAAATTTCTTACAGCCGTATCAGCAACTTGGACTCTATCCAACAAAATTCCACATATTTTTTTTATTATGTTCAGCTGTTTGATATATTTCTACGATTTCATTGAAATCTTTGGCTACTTCTGTTATAAGTGGTAAAAAACTTTCAAATGGCACTACCACGTTAGCTGCGGTTTCTACCGTTGTTATTGCCGTGCCGAGCGTTGATTCTACAATATCTCCAGTTTCAACAAGTTTAGTTCTTATTTGACTGCTAATATGAAAGTGCTATATATAATGACACAAAAATTTGTAAATAAAATATATTATTCATAAAGTTCAAATATATCACACGTTACCTGGTTTAAATCGTCGATATCAGACTTAATATCTTTATTATCTTTATCAGCACGTTCGTTAAAGTCAACTGTCAGAGAAAATTGCAGAAGTTGTATAGTAGAATCAAATTCATTAATTAATTCTTTAACACTAATTTCAATATTATTGGCCTGAATATACTTTTTTAATCTCTTTAACTGAGTTATTTCTTCAACAAATTTACGAAGTTTACAAATGACATGAACTAAATTTTGTAAATTAAAAAGATTTTTGTTGACAAAAAATTCTACATATTTATCTCTACGAGTTTTTAAATTCCTTACAGCTGCATCAGCTATAAGAACTCTATCCAACAATATCCCACATATTTTTTGATTATGCTCAGCTGAATGAAATATTTCTGTTATTTCATCAAATACTTTGGTTATATCTGTAATAAATGGTGAAAATTTTGAAAATGAAATCATATCTTCTATTTTATCGTGGATTGATGTGGTATTAGAATTTGAGTCTATAATTCCTCCATCATTATCAACAATATTGATTACTTCTGAAGCAAATTTCTTTACATCAGTTACACTAACATCATGAACTGATTCATATTTTGAATCAGCAATGTCTAAATTACGAACTATGGAATCATAAGATTTGGTTACTTTGCTTAATTTAGATTCATTACTATTAAATTCATTTTCATAAATATTGTCAATAAATGTATTATTTTGATTGGGAGAAATTAATTCTTCAAGAGATGTAACAACCTTCTATATAATTGGACGTTCGGTTGGTTCATATTTCCAACAATCTAGTAAATTAATGAAATTAAACTAAATACTGTATGTATGTATATATTACTTTTTTAAAAAAAAAACTTTATTCATTTACCTTTATATAATTTACAATATTCAATAGGAGTCCCATTAATTGTTTTTTCTCTTGTTCCGCCGATTATATTAATGATTAACCCTCCATCATAATCACCATTAAATGGTGAACGTCCACTTGAAATTTGCCACATAAGTACTCCTACGCTATAAACATCAGACTTTTTATTTAATTGATAAAGAGCAATTCCGTAACCGTTTTGGGTCCATATAAGGTATTACACCAAGTATTTTTGATGCATTACTTGAAACATCTGTAATTTTTCTTGATAAACCAAAGTCTGATAATTTAATATTTTTCTGATGCACGAGTATATTTCTGGCATGCTTTAATAAAGTTTGTATTAATAACATATTTAGCAATTCAAACAAAATAGTTAATTATGTTACCAGATCACGATGGATAATATCTTCTTCATGCAAATATTCTACAGCACTTGATAGTTGAAGTGCCAACTGATATTTGTCATCCCAATTTAGTTCATCGAAATGCTTTTCAAAATAATCTTTTAATGTACCGCTATCTGCATATTCCAAGACTAAAGAGTATACATCTGTAATAAAAGTATTTATAAATTAAAATAAAATTGAAATATCAATTGTTTAAAAATATTATACAGTAAATTTTTAATAATGATATAATAAGTAATCGTATTAAAATTCAATAATATTTTTATACTTACTGGGCTTGGTACATGTGACTCCATATAACCGTATAATATTTTCATGATAATTAACTTTCCAATGTAGTTCCAACTATTACAAAATAAAACAAGTATTTTAATTGTAATTTTTTTTTTTTTATTTGAAAATGATTAAAAAAATATTGTACAGTACCTCTTCCACTATTTCTTTGATGAATTCTTGATTTTTAAAAGATTTCAAAGCGAAAATATCCTTTTTCCAAATAACACGATAAACATCTCCATACGAACCCCTCCCTATATGTTTTTCATTTTGTAAATCCGAGAATTCATACAATTTTATAAATCCATTGACAATTGCTTGCTCTAACCAACCAGTATAATCTTTCATAATATTATCTTTTGACATGTTTTTTTTTTTTTTTTTTTTTTGCAAAAAATATGTAGCTCAATTTCACAATGCATGAAAGGCAAATTGATAGATGAACAGTGTGCAGAACTGTGCGACATCATGCGGAATACTTTTAATTGCGCCACAAAATTACGTGTAATTAAATAAGCGAATTATCAACAATAATATACGGTAAATATTAAAAAATATTGATTGAAAATATTCATGTAATAAAAATTTTATTAAGGTCTGAACAGCAAAAATCAAGAAAACTAAAATTCATTATTTAAAAAATTGAATTCAATTTATAAAATTAATAATCACGTTATTAATGATTATTGTAACCTAAAAAAAAGAATAAACATCGTTTTAATTTGCAGTGCTATTCATCTAATGATCGACTCGTTACTGTTACTAGTTATAACTGTTATCACCATCACTAACATTAATATTATCACAATTATCACAAATCTTGAGCAAAGTGACCACGTAGATTACACAAGTAACAACATTCGCACATATTAGGCGAATGATAAGGGCTACCGCAATTATTTACAACTAAACAAAAAGAATTCATGTTTTTTAAGAAATGTGTAATTCTTATTCATCGTTTTACCAGATGCTGAGGTTGCTTTGTACAATTGCCTACTTTAATAAGAAAGACACATGCCTTTATTATTGTCTGAAACTTAGTAATAGGATACGAATATACCTGTTCCTGCAACCAATGATCAAATTGCGTCTCCGCAAATTAGTCGGGAATCAGAGAATCGAAGCGAAAAACAGTATTTAAGGTTTTAGATTTTATAACGAGAAATGTAAATTCATTATTATGTAACATTTTTTTTTTTTATTGAAAATATAATGATTGTAAGAGAGGTATTTAAAGTACTTATTTATCATTAAAAGTTTCGAAAAATTGAAAATCAACCACTATAATAAATGAAAATTATTATTTTTAAAAGCATTTTAATTAGCGAATAATTTATTTGGTATAGAATTTCTAATATAAATTAGTAATTTCTTCCTTTAAACTCGTTGCCAAATGATCACTTTTACTTTAATTCATGAATCATATTTCAAGACAGGACAATATCATCTTGGCAATAGATTATATATCGGGGAGGTATAACGAACATATTAAAGCCGATCGAAATTTAATAATTACTGATTTTAGAAAAATATTTCTTCATTTTCATTTTGTGTAACATATTTCAAAATATCAAGGTCGAAATGCGAGTTGAATAATCTGTCTTTTTTTTTAAAAAAAAAATAAAAAAATATCGTTACTAAGACACGAGAAATTTATTGAGAAACCTTTAATAAAAGTCATTAGACTTTTGCTACCACAAAAAGAAAAAAGTTCACGTGTCAGGAATTCAGCCCCGAAATAATATATCAATTTGTACGACCTGTTAACCTAATTTATCGATTTATCACAAAAAAAAAAAAAAAAAAAAAAAAAAAAATCCCCTCTCTAAATTGCAAAAACACAACTATTGGTAAAGAAAATAATTACTCCGGAGTCAAAGCAAGCTTTACGTGTATATTTGCGGTTTTCGTTATTAACTTAGGGCGAAGGTTAAAATCATTAAGCTCTACTGTATAATTAATGTGACTTAAATTTAATAGCCGTTGTTCGTTCTCGTATGTTTTTGTCATATTTGTTAATAATATCGAATATTCTAACTAACCTTACGCCCTTCCTCACGCTACCATAATTTATTTCTATTATGTAGTTCCTGTTTTGACGGGTTAATTTCGAATAACAAAACCCTTGTCGGGACGGTCAATATGGATTTCTTCAATGGACAGGCTAGCCTTCGGAATCTTTTTTGTGGTAATGCAGTGGAATAGACTTAGATTGTATTATGATATGAAGGACATTATAAACTTATTCGCAGATATTTTTCAATCGTTTATGACAAGACCAGATTTCACGATAATGAATCAAAAAATGTTTATGTGATGAAGGATTGGTATGTAATCAGTTACCGTTAATTTCATATATAGTTTGATTGATATTTAATACTATTTTTTTTTTATAGGGCAAGGCACTATTCATTATCGTGAAGAAAAATTTAGTTGATGACGATAATATCATCTAACATCTGGAGCCTACTCTGAAAGTTAGTATTTTTTTTTTTTTTTTTTTTTTTCACTAATTAATGTTTATTAGTATTAATTTTATCCCATCTTTATAGTTAATACATGAAAGAGGATGGCTTCATAGAGATATAAAGCTCCTGTAGAAATGAAAATTCTCTTTTATTGTTAATTACAGATTTTGGATTAAATTATCCAACTACTTTTTTTAATTACCTTTTCGATTTAATCAAATGGTCCATCCCAGAAGCGGATTTTCTTGTAAACTCGGTTCACGTCCAAGTGACGCGAGAGGCAAGCACAAATGAGTCTACAGATTTGATCACTGACTGGAACGCAATTTTCAATTGAATGTACTATTGATATTATCTGTAATGTGATTTTAATAGCAACATATGATAATAAAATTTTTTATTCTTTTATTAATACCTTTATTCTAAATATTTAATTGACACGTTCATTGATATTATTTGAGTGAGACAAAATGTAGGCACGTGACAAAGTTAATTTAAATACTAAAACAGTGTTCTCTAAACATATCGGTAACACGGAATTTTTTTCATTAATTTGATATGAGAGTATTAAAAGTAAATTCATTATTATACTTGTAAAATAAAAAAGTTGGTAAGTAAATAAGAATGTAATTGTAGAAGAATAAAGTAAGCTTTCTAATGAAAGGTAATTTATTACTTTTAGTAAGATAATAAATAATAATAGACGGGATATGCAACCTTTAGGTTAAATATAATAGTATAATAATGCAAATTTATATTATCATATTTAAAATCATTTTATCTGATCTTTTATTTCTTAAGCGATTTATTAAATTAATATCTTAGTTTTATTATAACGGTTATAACTTTAAATCCGTATGATTAATTTGATGTAATAATATTAATAAATCTAAATAGTTTCATAATATATAAGAAGTACCTATCTTACTTAACCTTCTCTTTCTTAGTAAATTACTGAATTAAGTAAAAATCCTATTTTTTACTTTTGTATAAACAAATCTACAATTTTTTATATAAAAAAAAAAAAATTCAATCTAATATTATAGTATATATAAATCTATAAACTTATTAGTATAACTTTATATATAACTTTCTATATATTTGTAAAAATACTTTTTTATAATAATTATTTAGTTTTTTAAACATTTATTTATAATTTTATAAATATGAAACTTTAAAATTTTCATATTGTTTTACTACTGATAGTAGACTTTTTCAGTTTATTTATTGATGAATATTTTTTGATTTATATATATATTTTTTTATATAAAAAAAAAACTTCATTAAAATTAAGGTTATTTACTAGAATAATCCATCTATTTTTACTTCGCGAATTATAGTATACTCTAAATAACTTAAGTATATTCAGAAAAAATTTTTATTCTGTTTAAAATATTAAACTTTTTTTTTCAAAATAACTTTAAAACATAACTTTTATAAAAATAATTCAATTTAAATAAAATTGCAATATTAAACCTATTGATATTAGATGTACTGAATAAGCAGAAATTATGTATAAAATTACAATTTATCAATAAAATGTTTCATGTACAGTTTTAATATAACAATTGTTTTTACTTTATAAATTAATATAATTTTTTATATTATTAAAATTTACGTTGGGGAGCAAAGCCCGAGGTAGTGTTAGTTTAATTCTTTTATATATATAATCCAAATCTATTTGCCTACAAAAAAAAGCGAAATAGATTAGGTAGATTACACAGGTAGTATTATAGAAAACAATTGAAAATATTACAGTATATAAAACAAATAAGAGATTAAGACTTAGTAAGCATTATTTTTCATATGTTTCTTGATTATCATTAATTATTCTTTTGGTACATGTAATACATATCTCATTACTGTTGATGAAAATAACACGTGAAATAATTTAATTTTGTTTGTTTTGATCCTTTATTTTTTTTTCGATGCATAAACCCGTACTTCAATTTTCCGAAGAAATTTGTGTGCTATCCACGCAGTAATTTATTTTTAAAAAATAAACATTTGAAGGAGAGAGTTTAGTATCCATTTTTTTTTTAAAAAAAATAAAAATGATTAAGAGGCGAAACGTTTTTATATTTTTTAATGATAACGCTATGATTTGATGATATTCTTTTTTATTTACTCTAAATAATCTTTTATTTGTTATTTATAATTATAGTAAACAGAGTATTTCCTATCGTATTTAGAGTAATTCCATAGATTTACTATAAATACGTTAATTATCGTTGCTTAGTACTTAAAACCCTAAGTATTGAATTATACAAAGAAGGAAAGATCTACATGACATTATCTATTATTTATTGTAATTTTTAATGTGTTTCCCAAATTTATATTTCAATTTCCATTTATAAAAATCATCTGTCTGTATACGTGAGAAAATATTTTTTACAATTCATCAAATTATCTTTTCTCCTTTTGTTTAGCAAAATATGGAAGAAAATTTTTTTAATTATCAGATGTTCCTGAGATTATTATTTAAGGAGCAAAAAAAAGAGTTCCTTTTCAACAAAAAAAAAAAAATTTAATTAAAAAATTTACATTATGAAAGAATCAGAAAACAATAATACGAAGACCATTGATGCAGAAATTCGCAATCTTTGGTCAGAGAGTATTAATTACCGCGATCAACGTCAAAAATCTAACGATGAAATTTATGATTTTATTATTGTTGGGGCTGGAACTGCCGGATGTGTATTAGCAAGAGAACTGATTTATAATGTTCCCAACGTTAATATTTTGGTATTAGAAGCTGGTCCACCGAATGCTCAAGTTAATGATATAATGCGTTTACCTTGTACTTTTACTGCGGTAAGTTTATGAAATAAAATACATTATCAAAATACTTTGGATTTACGATTTATTTTAAATAGGCTTTTCGAGCAAGTGAAGTAGATTGGGGATATCTAACAGAAGATCAAAAAATGCCCAGCATTACCGAACCTACAAAAGAAGTATTAAATAAAGGGTTCACTTACCCACGTGGTAAGGTCATTGGAGGATGCAGTACTGTAAATGCAATGGTTTATATGTGCGTATTTTTTTCTTTTTTTTTTTAATGTACATTCAAATTTTGAAATGGTTGTTGTTTGATAATTAAAAATCATATGTTTTTAGACGAGGTCAAAAGGCTGATTACGATAGTTGGGTGGCACAAGGTCCTGAATACAAAATTTGGGATTACGATCATTGTCTTGAGGGTATATATTAATCCGTTATGAATTATTATTATTATATATTATGAAAATTTAAATTTAAATTACTTTATTTTATAAAAGCTTTCAAAGCCATGGAAAACAACGCGCGTGAAACCCCTGACGAAGAATTTAAGAAGTATCACGGGTTCAATGGCCTACTTCACGTTCAAGATAGTCCAACTGATACTTACGAGGTTACAAAAGATTTCATTAAAGTTGCAAATAACCTTGGCATTCCTTGTAATAAAGACTTCAATGGTGCTAGACAAAATGGAGTAGGAAAATATCAGGTAAATTAGTAGTAAATGAGTAACATTTAAATATTTTATTAATTCAATTTTAATATAATAATATAATATAGAGCACGACACAAAATGGAATTCGGTGCTCGTTGGCCGACAGTTTTTTGACAGATGCATTGAAAAAAGTTGAAACATATCCTCCTTTAAAGGCATTAGGACGCCCTTATGGTTTAGCTTCCGGCGTTGCAAAGATCATTGCTGTTAATGTTAAATCTTGTGCCCACATGCTAAGTATTATTTGGGATGAAGAAAAGGAAGATGAAAATATAGCTATTGGCGTTAAGTATTTCTGCAATGGTGGAGTTCGTAATGCTTACATTGCTCCAAAGGGAGAAGTAATTATTTGTGGTGGTGCTATTAATAGCGCTCAGGTAAAAATTTTTCGTTAATGAAATTATCATGGCTTGATGTTTGGTGATTGAGTCCCGTTATATATTTATTTTTTTTTTAAAGATTTTAATGCTATCAGGAATCGGTCCAAAAAATAATTTGGAAGCAAATAATATCAAAGTTCGTAAAGAATTACCAGTTGGACGTAATCTACAGGATCATCCTTTATGTATGGTTACTGGGAAAATTTCTATTCCAAATAATACCTCTCAATTTCATACTTGGTGTAGTGGAATTAAGCTTGGAATGATTTATAAAGGAAATGACAAAGGAAAAATTCCTAGTCATGAAGAATTCCTTGATGAACATCCCGATATTCAATCTTATGGTAAGTTAGTATGATAATATTTGTTGAAATCTTTTAAAAACAATTTAATATTATAATTCATTAATTATAATTTTATTAGTAACCACAATTATATTTGATCCTATTATTAATGAATATGTTAATTCTAAACAATGTCCACCAAATTTTGAAACGGTTACTTTGATCTCTGTTTTAAATCCTCCATTGAGTGCCGGTCACCTGGAATTATGTAGTTCCAATTCATTTATACAACCAAAAATATTTCTCAATTATTACGAAAAACCTGAAGATTTGTATAGAATGATGAGCTCTTTAAAATTATCACGTGAAATTCTTAAACAACCTCCATTAAGTACTGTATGGGGCATGAAAGAACTTGGGTTTAATGATGAATTTGGAAAATGGTGTAGTGTGGACGAAGAGATGAGTGATGAAGATTGGGAACG